AACGCGATGCGGCAATCTCGGGGGACACCCGTTGGAGCTGAGAACCTGGCGGCCGCGGTATGAAAAGTGGACGGGTCGGCGCGAGGCGGGAGTCAAGGGAAGCATTCGGTGGATTTCGGGATCTGGCGGCCGTGGTAAGCAGATTGGACGGGTCGAGAGACATGCGGTGGACATCTAAAAGCCCCAACTTGTCGGGCGGGGCGCATTGATCCCAACATTGGCCCCGTAGGCGTCCAAGGAGGCCCAACAGGCCCACAAGAGCCGCCAAGCGGCCCAAGACGCTCCCAGGATGACCCAAACTGCAGTTTGGATTGTCCCCCAGAATTGCTCCAGGACCGCCCCAAAGAGGCCTCAAAGCAAGCCGACCCCCATATACCCTCAAACGGGTGCCCAGGTGGCCCCGAGGGGCCCGTAGGTTTAGATGACCCCAACAGACCTAGGAGAGACCAAGAGCGATCCGAGAGATCACCAATACAGCCCCGAGGGAGCCTTCAGAGGACCCGAAGACAGCAGCATGGCGCACTCTCAAAAGGGAATATGTTGTTCGTCTCTACGGTGCGTGTCAGGGCTGACGCGCCCTTGGCTTGCTGGGCTTGCGACTTTCTTCACACCATCCCTCCCTCGTTGTCTCGGTTTTGGCGCTCTGTCGCCCATCAGAGGAGGATCGTGTCGGTATCCTCCCGGATCGCTGCGATTGCAAGATCACATCGGTGGGAGGGAGGATAGCATCCCGTCTCAGCCGTTCGTGGACGGGGACCCGTTCGTGATCGACAAGATCCCCCACGTCTTATTCTCAGGTGGGCCGAGCGTCGGTTCCAAGACGTCGGCAGTGGCTTCGCTACTCGTTGCTCTCTTCGTACACGTCCTTACCGTCCTTTTCCTTGTCCTTATCCTCGTCCTCGTCCCGCCCAGTCTCTTCGTCCTCGACCTCGACGTCGTCCTACTCAGCCTCGTTGTCCTTCCTCTCCTTTTCTTCCTCCTCCTCCTCCTCCTCCTCCTCGTCCTCCTCTTGTCCTGATAGTCGTAGTCCTCCTCCCCATCCTCTTCTCCTGCGTCCTCTTCTCCAGAGGCACAACCTCTTCTCTCTCATCCCTTTCCCAGGACGTGCACATTGCTTTGATAATCACATATGACAGACGCTTTGCCAGACCAAGCTGTACGCGGGGAAGCCTCATTGTCGGAGAGCGTGTTGCGGCGTGATGCTTGTGATGTGTTCAGTCTTTTACGTGACCGTTCAGCCGTTGCCATTCTTATATGGTCTACACTCCTCTGTGTGTTGTCGCGTCCTTTGCGCGGTTCACGTCTTAGTTGGAGCCATGTCGTGTCATACGGTGCGGAAAGAAAAGAAGCAGTCTTCGTGATTCCGACCTGTGTTGTGCGAGGTGGTCACGATAAGGCGGAGCATCTATTCCGGGGACATCCAAGCGGAGATTCAGGCGCTCAGGTGTTCTATCAAATGTTGTTTCGCGGATGTTTGTCTTTGGATTGCAGGCGTCTGCAGCAACAAAAGCAACAAACGGGGTGTCGGAAGATGTTCGGCACTCCGCATATCCATCCTCGAGTCAGAAAGTGGGCGACGGTGGGCAAACACGTGGTTGTTAAAGCAGACAACCAGGAAACTGTTGTTTTTCTTAAGGGAAGCAGCCCGTTTACGTTTTAGCGCGCTGAATTGGATTCCAGGAGTATGTTTTTTCTTCCGGGAAGACCGTTTTAGCAGTCACGGATTTGCCAGCCCTCGCCCAGCTTCCAATCGAGTCATTCGATCCTCGGGCGTTCCCTGCACACATGGGCGCGACCCTTGGACAGAGAGAGGCTTCGTCCCAGTCCAAGGCTCCCTACGGTCGGGCCGCCGAAGAAGGAGCCCTTCGCGTTGAGGAGGGGTTCGGTGTTCTGTAGATGCTTTACAGTTTTCTCTTAGGTTGTCTTAGGTCTTCTTTGGGGAGTCGAAGTTGCACCTATATTTCACACACACATATATATATATATACACTATAAAATTCGAACGATTTGCATTTTAATGTAATGAGTTCTAATATACAAAAGTTGAATATCGTATATTATTCTTTACTGATGAGATAACAGAATATAGCATCAACTCTATAACATTGTACTTTTCCAGAACTCCCCCCCCTCCCCCCCGCAACCCACTTTAGTCCCTGGCGCCGGCGCGTCTTTATGAACGCTCCAGGGCGTCCCATGCGCCTCGAGGGTCCTCCTTGGCGCCCGCAGCGAACAACCAGAGGCCGCCAGGACGGCCCAAGAGCGCACCAGGCTGCCCAAGATGGCCCCATGATGGCCCAAGAGGCCACAAGAGGCCCCAAAAGCGCTCCGAGAGGACCTCCAAGGAGGCCCAAAGAGGCCAACATCATTGATATTCATAGTGTTTCACCATGTTTTTTGCGTTCTCGCGTTTTCGACACCCCAAGACTGCCCAAGAAGCCTCCAACCTCGCCCCAAGAGGGTCCAAGAGGCCCCCGAGACGGCCCAAGAGGGCCCCCAAACGGCTCAAGAGGCGCGCATCCGTCGTCCTACCCCGTCTTCCATTCATGTTCGAAAAGTGAAGTCCCTGGTGCCGCGTGCCCGCATCAGCGGTAGATCGCCTTCTCGATATCCGAGCACAGCGGCGCAACCAAGCAGAGGCGATGGACAATGGGAGCGTTCGGGGCGCACTCCAAACGCGGGCGGCACGGCCGCCGAGCGCAGTCGCATCGCTAACTTGTAAATTAGATGCGCCTGTGGCAAGGCCCGCCCCCTTGCCAAAACAGCGGCTTGTATGTCGCACTTCTCGTTTTTTTTCTGCTTCCGGACTGCTGTGCGGCATTATTCGGGGCCCTTCGAGGCCATTCGGGGCGTTTTCGGGCCGTTTGGGGCCGCTTGGTGCCGCGTTTCACCGCGGCCGCCCTGGGTCAGGGAAGCGTGTAGTTGCAGTTCCTTCGGGGGCGCCCTGGGCCGGGGAATTGTGGATTCGCACCCCCCCCCAACTGGCCATGTCGACCTCGGTTTTGGGGTGGCAAAGTCGGGGCGCCCTCGAGGTGGCGAGCGCTCAGTCTTCGAAATACACAGATCAAGGTGTGATCTGTGTACATAGCTTGGGTCTACAACTGTGTATTTTCGTGTGTGGGCCCACTGTTTACCCAGATCGTGGTGTGATCTGTGTACACAGATCTCGCTCCCGTCTGTGTATTTGGAGTGTGCGCCTCGCGGGTGGTGTTGACTGGGCGGGACCTTTCACGTTTCTCCTTCGGCTGGTCCAGGGGGGGCGTCGTACGCGGTCGAAATACACAGATCGCGTCTCCAACTCTGCATTCGTTGCGCGCCGCTCGCTGGAGTGGTCACTGGGCGGGAGTTTCCGCGTGTCTCCCGGCTGGTCCAGGAGGGGGCAGTGGTCTGGGCATGCAGAGCCCGGAAGGTGGGGAAGGTGGGGATGGTGGGCTGTGGGAAGGAGGGGGCTCGATAGGAAGGGTGGCCAAGGGGCCAGGGATGAACGGGATTGGACGGCAGGGGAGGAAACGGGCCCAGGACGAGCTGCATCATCGGCTTTAACATCACGGGGACGAGGGAGGCGGGGAGGGGGCAGAACGAGGGGGCATGATGTGCACTAGGGCGTAGAGGATGGGAGGAGGGCAGGCATGTGGACGATGGGGGAACGAATCCGGCGGAGGAGGACGACGAGGAACGACATGAATTGGCACATGGGGGGTGACAGTGTGGGTGAGGGGCATGGTGAGCGCCAGGGTTAAAGGGGGAGAGGAGGAGAGCGGGGTCGAAGCGAAGGGATATTCTGAGGCGGCGGGGGATGGGGCATGAGTTCGAGGCGGGCGCCGGCCGCCAGCTAACAATTAGCTGAACAGTGATTCGTGTGTGTCCGTGCACCCTCCCAAACAGAACACAATGACCGGTTACAGAACTTCATGATATGGGTAATCGTGCGCTTCGTGTTGCCAGGTCAAAGGCTCGAGTCCACGACGCCCACTGGCGTCGCGTTGATGCCGCCCCGATTTGCCAGAGCGCAGATGCACAGATACGCAGAATCTGTGTTTCAACGTTTGTTGCATGACCCTTTCTATCGTAACACCCACGTTGGACACCAACCCCCAACGGGCATTTGAGACAGCACGCCGACGGGTCGAAGCTGCGTCTGCCGCCGCCGCCCCCGTCTCTCTCGGAGGACGAGGGCCAGTTGAGGCCATGGCGGCTCTCAGGGTCTGGCGCACATCCGCTCGAACTCGGTCCCTTGGCTAAGTCGAGCCTGTCCCTCTACAGGAGGAGTATTCAAAGATAGTACACAATTGTCGGGGGACGATTTCCGTATGGTTGATCATTTTGCGTATGGTTTATTTTTTCGCCCAAAATCTCCCTGTAGGAGGACACGCCCGACCTAATCCTTGGCCCGAACCCTTGCCGGTCGTGTCCCAGAGCTCCAATAATCATCAGGGCTGGGGGTAGTCAGGGGTGGCTACAGATTCGCGCCTCGGGGTCCTAAGCCGGAGTTGCCCCGGACCGCAGTTATCCCGGACAGTTCGGGTTTTTTACCCCCCCCCCAGTCAGAAGGGCTGGAGGGTGTCAGGGGGGGCTAGAGATTCGCGCCTGGGGGGCCCAATGTTCGAGTAGGGGATCGATCTCAGATTTGATTTACCCCAGAATTTGTTTTCTCGTCGAATTTACGGACGGAGATTCAGAATGCCCAGTAGGCTTGCGAACCTTCTACGCACTCGTCGCAGATTCGATGGATCACTTCTGCAGTCGATCCCCTAGTCCAAAGCCAGAGGTACCCCGGACTGCAGCCATCCTGGATCTTTCGGGGCTCAAGGGACGGGGGTCGATGCAAACGGGATTCAGCCATGGCGCTGGATATTGAAGGATCCTGCGGAGCCATGGTCGCACTGACCTTGTTTTCCTCCCGCAGGATCCTGCAGGATTTTGCAGGATCCTGCAAGGTTTGGCTGACCCGGGTCTGTCGGGCCGAACGGAATGGGGGGGATAGGGGAAGGAGGGGTGTACGAAACTTGCTGCATGCAGCTGGTTTCGGCCCCGCCGCTGGGCCCATTCCTCGCGCTTCCCGGCGCCGGTAGGCGCTGGGAAAATCAGCTACGTGAGCGCTGATTCTCGGCCCTATATACCCTTTGCTATCCCCCCCTTTAGCCTTTCGTCCCCCCGATCGAAAGCCGGAGGTACCCGGGACCGCAGCCATCCCGGATCCTGTTGGTGTCCGGTTGTCCACGTCTCAGGGCGGGGGCCCCCGGGGAGGACGAACGACGCCAGTCAAGAAGGGGCGAAGCGTCCTGGCTCGCCTACAGGCCCTCCAAAGAATGTCCTAAGAGCCTTTTGTGATTGAAATGTTCTTAGAACATGTCTGGCTGATACTTGGAGGTTGATATACCTCCTACCCTGACACCCTGCCCGGCACCCTGCCCAGCGGCGCCTCGCGCTGCCGCCCGGGCGTTTTGCCTGGCTGCCAGCCGCGCCGCCCAGCCGCCGCCAGCGCCCAGCCCGGCGACCAGCCCGGCACTCTGGCCAGCGGCGCCCACTCCGGCGACAAGCCTGGCACCCCGCCCAGCGCGGCCTCGCCCTGCCCAGCTGCAGCTGGCGCCCAGGCCAAAACCCTGGACGGCGCCTTGCCCGGCGCCCAACGCGCCCTGCCCGGCTGCAACGCGCCACCCCTGGCCGGCCCTGAGCCAGGCGCTCCGTCTGGCGGCAAGCTTGGCGAGCTGGCGGACACCCCGCGCGGCGCTCCGTCTGGCGGCCAGCTCGGCGCGTAGGCAAATGCCCCGCACGGCGCGACGCCCGGCGGCCAGTCGGGTGTTCTGCCCAGGCGCAGACCAGGGCGCCATTGTGAAGACGATGGGGAGCCAGGCTCAGTTCTTCCTCCAGACAGGCTCGGCGCAGAAACACAAAAACAAGGTCCGCTTAGGCGTGGGTTTCGCGAGAGCCGCCCGCCTCCTGCGCGACCGCCTGCGCGCGCCGGCGCCCAGCCCAGCAGCGACGGCGCCAGAGGCCGATGGCGAGGGCACCCTCCCCAGTGGGGGCGGCGGAAGAGGATCGGAAGGCGGGGCTCGCTAAGAGGCGCCCGCCGAAGCCAGGCAGGCTGAGCTGCGGTGCTCGAGGCTCCTCCCCGCCCCCTGGAGGGGTGGGCGGCCGGTTCCCCCAGCACCGCGCCTCATCCCAGGCTGACCGTGTTTCTTACAGTTTGACGCCGTGTTCTTACAGTTTGGCACGATATTGCTCGCATGTGGTTCTCTCGGCGCGCTCCTCCAGATGCTATATCCGGGCGTAAGTTTTGGCGGCTGGTTGCTTCATATATGGCTGTTATGACTGGATCTGCGGTGCATCCCGCCCCGACGAGGTGTGTCTTGCATTTCGCGGCTGGCGCTGGCAACCAGGGGCTCGGAGCATAGACGCGGGCGTCGATGCGCAGGTCTGGCTGCGCGGCTCGGCAGAACCACTGGTTGCAGCTGCCGTTGGGCTCTCGCGGTGGATATGCAGCATCTCCTCGCATCCTGTTTCTCATCCGCAGTCAGCGGTGCGTGCTAGGGCATCCGGAGAGCGCGCGGCGCGCGCAAAGGGGGATGGGAATCAGGAGGGGAAAAAACACACAGACACAATTAATCGTCGATCCCCAGGAAAATATGGGAAAATATGGGAAGTGGTGGGAAAGACAAAAACCCAGAAAATATAGGAAAATATGGGGAATATATTTATTTGTGTGTATTTATTTGTGTGTCCCAGTTTCCCTTCAGGGAAGGCGGAGAGAGGGGGGGGGAAGAAAGGAAGGGCACCAATCCTACCCTGACGCGCCGATTAGCGAATTGGCCGCCTCCGTTTTGCGAGAGGGCGTCGCGGCCGTCATTCTCGCGGGTCCAGGTCCGTCGGGTTCGGTCCCAGGCCGGTTTCACTAAAGGGAGGCTTGCTAGAGGGAGGTTTGTCCGCCGCCGATGTCATGGTCTGCGCGAAATTCTCTTGGAACACTTATGGCTGAGCCTCGTTTCGACGCATCGGGCTTATGCCCTAAGAACGTCGCTTTCGTTCTCAGAACGCTTCTGGGTTTCAAGAACATGTCGCGGTAGGCCTATAGGAATGCTGGGAAGGTCGGTGCCTGCTCAATACGGGGATGGCCGGCGTTGTCTCGGTGGGCTCTTCTCTGGAGCACGCCGACAGGTGGACGCTGGGTCCGCCGACGCCCCCCCCCCTGAGATCCCGGCGATTCAAGATTGCTGCGCCGAGCGTTCTCGCTCCCTTGCGGGCCCGAGGACCCTCGCAGATCGGCCCGGGTCGAAAAATGGCGCAGAAAGAGGGGGTCCAGGGCTCCAGGCGCGATTGTCTGCGGCGTCCCAATTTCTGGAGACGTCGGGTCTCAGGGGTGTGTCGATGAGCCTTTCTCTGAGGCGCGCCGACAGGTGGATGCTGCGTCCGCCGACGCCCCCCCCCCCCTCGCAGCACCACGCAGACATCGAACGTTCTGACGCCGTTGTGCGGGGCCCCCAGAAATTCAAAAGGGGAAAAAACATAGACAAAATTAATCGGCGATTCCCAGGAGAAAAAGAGAACATATGGGAAGTGGGAGGGGGAATCGAAAACCCAGAACAGAACAAAAATATTATCCCAGTGCGACCCTACCTAGGAGTTGGAGCAATTAGGAAAGCAACATCTACACATACACCGACAGCTACATTTACATCTACACCTGCATCTACATCTACAACAACATCAACAGCGAGACTCACATCTACATCTACACCTACGTCTACACCTACATTCACACATACATATACATATACACCCACATCTACAATTACACCTACATCTACATCTAAATCTACACTTTCGCATTGGTGTTGCTTTTGATGTGCATTGCATTTGCTTTTGTTATTGCCTTTTTTGATTTTGCCGTGCTATGTTATGCGATGCTATGCTAGGATATGCTATGCTATGCTGCGCTGCGCTGCGCTATTCTATGCTATGATATGTTATGATGTGCTATGCTATGCTATGCTGCACTGTGCTATGCTAAGCAATGATATGCTGTGCTATGCTATGTTATGTTGCGCTGTGCTATGGTATGGCATGTTATGATATGCTGAGCTATGTTATGTTATGCCATGATATGCTGTGCTAATGCTGCGCTGCGCTCTGCTGCGCTGAGCTAAGGTAAGCTAAGCTATGCTAAGCGAAGCTAGGCTAAGCTAAGCCAAGCTAAGCGAAGCTAAGCTAATATTAAATCAGCTAAGCTAAGCTAAGCTAGGCTAGCCCTCTAAGCAGAGCCTAGGTAGGGAATTACACCCATGCTATGATATGCGATGCTGCGCTATGCTATGCTATGATGTGCTCCGCTATGCTAAAGCTCAGCGAAGCTACGATGAAGGTCAGCTAGCTAAGATAAGCCTGAGCTAAGATGAAGCTGAGTTAAGCTACGATGAAATTAGCTAAGTTAATCTAAGCTGCGTTAAGCTAAGATGAAGCTAAGCTAAGCTAAGCTAAGCAACGCTAAGCTAAGGGGACGTAGCTGGGGGAACCGCGGGGCGGATACTGGGGGAACCGCCCGGGGCGCGTTCCACTGCCCGGCCCTTTAAGCACACCGAGTAAGAACCCTTCTAGGCAGAGCCTAGGTAGGGAATAAGGGATCCCTGGATTTGTCTGTATTTATTTGCGTGCCCCTGGGTTAGGGGCCCCGACCCCTCCCCTGGCCCAGGGGTCGGCTTTCCGTTCCGAGCCGCTCCTTGACGGCCCATGGGGCCCAGGCGAGGGCCCCCAGAGACACGCGCCCTCCTCCTCTCCAGTCCTCCCGGATGAGGTCCGAGTAGATGGGGTCTCAGGGGCGGCCAAGAGGGGGGGCGATGACTGGGGGGAGGGGCTCTCAGGGCGGGGGCTGTGAGATCTCCCCAGATGTCATGGTCGCTTTTCGAACTTCAATCCGTTCCCTGGCCCCCCCTTGTCCGCGCACGTGCCGGCTGCCACGATTTGCCCCCCCCCCCCCCCCCCCTCTTGCCCGCCCCCTAGGGTCGGAGGGCCGCGCCGCCTCGCCGATGCGTCGGCGATGCGGCTCGATCCGTGCCGACGGCGCCGGCGCATCGGCGGTGCATTGGGGATGCGGCGTGGTCCTCCGGTCCCTTTCTGCGGTCCAGGCGCCGAAAGAAGGAACAGTCTGGCTTCCGAAGGGGTTCGATATTCCGTGGGCCCTTCTATGGCTGTTCTTCTGGCCCTCGTGCAAGCAAGCGCTTTGGGGGATCGTTCCCTATGCGCCGTTCCTTCTCTCAGCAGTCCAAGTATACTTGGATTTTGTCTGGGAGGTTTGTACCCCTGCTGTTTGGAGGCACCACGTGCATATGCGTCCCCGCCTTCAATCGGCAGCCCGCGGTGGTCTTCGTGAACTTGCGGGACCCCCGGGACGTGCGCGTCCACGAGCTCGGTGGGGGCAGGGGGGCCCCTCTCGGCGAGGCAAGGGGGGAAGGAGATTGGCTTTGCATCGGTCGGACGTGTGCCATTTTTCGCCGGCGAGGACCATCGAGGAGCATCTTGGATCATTTCGCGGAAAAAAAATGGACGCGCGAAACCGAAGCATGTGCTGGGAATGGGCGTCCGAGCGGAGGCAAGTTGGGGCGGGGAGGCGTTGGCGGGGGGGGGGGCCCTGAGACCCGAGCGTCGCAACTTATTCACACCGAGCGTTTTCGCCCAGGTTCGGGCTCTGGGACCTTCACAGCCCCGGCGCGCGACATGCCGTGGGGAAGTATGGCCTAAGATTCTGTAGCTGGTGTTCCACGAGGGTTTTGTTTCGCGGCGTCGGATCTCAGGGCAGGGAGTGGTCGAAAATTTGGAGTAACAGGACGAAGCGAGTATCTTGGATCTTAGCGAGGGGGGCTTTGTACATTGCAGGCGAAAGGGCGGATGAGCTGGATGATGAGCAGGAGGAAGAGGGGGAGGAGGAGGAGGAGGAGGAAGAGGAGGAGGAGGAGGAAGAGGAGGAGGAGGAGGAGGAAGAGGGTGAGGAGGAGAGGGAAGGAGGAGGAAGGAGAAGGAGCAGGAGCAGGAGAAGGATGAGCAGGATAATGTGGAGAAAGTGAAAGGATGGACGGTAACAACGAAGAAGGAGTCGGATCCACAACCGTGGCCCTCGCTAGGGCGAAACGCCCGTCTGAACCACGGGAGCTAAGTGCCGATCCTGATATGTGGCGAAGTTTGCAGCGGGAGAGCGGGAGCATCATCTTTGAAGGACCGAACACGTCAGCTCGAGGCGACAGAGCAGCGACGATGGAACCATCACGGACCCTTCGGGGGGTGGGGCAGAAGCCCAGAGCGTGAATTACTTACCCCGCTTTCGCTTCCAGACAGAGTCATACCGTGCGCCTCCTCGTCAAGCGGCCTGACTGGGGCAGGCCGTAGCTTGGTGTCGATTGGTGTCTTTTGGAAGCGAGGGTAGTCAAAAGCGAAGTAGGATCGTCGGGCTCCCAGAACGAGGGCCGCGGGCTTGCGCAGAAGCCCCCGTGAGGTCCGCACCAAATCCCCGCCGGGACGGGCAGCAGGACTCAACTCTTCATACGCATAGCTCGCCAGATTGTACACATATTGCAAACGGTATGTATGTGTGTGTGTGTAAACATACACATGCATAAACACACAAAGGGGATGCTGAACCTTGTGCTTGAAAAAAAATGTTGGGTGGATCCCGGTCCCCACGCCGCGTGAGCTGGGCTGGCCGCGCGCGTGATTCCGCCCGATGTTCTCCGTCGCGACGTTGCGCGTTTGGCCGCGATGCCAAATAGTGCGAAAAAGTATGCGCGAGAGAAGTGGCCCCCGCATTGGACGGAATCCGGGGGCATGATAAAGCAGTACTCATGTTGGGTAGTTGCGGGTGTCGACGACGAAGACGAGGAAGCGTGACAACAGGAGGCGACGAGGACGAGGAGGAGGAGGAGGAGGGAAGGCATGCTCACGCAAGTGGGCGCTCGACTGCCAGCGGGGCCCCACTTCTGGCAGGGAGCGGGCTTCGGGCCGCCACTGTCTGCTTGCCTGCCGCAAGCGGGCGCGGGAGGTGACGTCACGATGCAGGATGCGTGCTGAGAGTCTGCAGTGGAGCGGTGCCACGATTCCCTGCGGGCGTCGGGATTGCGCCCTTTTCTGGAGACGCGCGCGCAGCAAGCGGCAAGCCCGATCAGTCCCCTTCGGGTGCAGCTGTGGGAGGGGAGAGCGAGAGAGATGCCGCGACAGTGGAGTTCATTCCCCCTTCTTCTCCGCCACCATCCTCCTCCATCCATCCTCCGCCTCCTCCGCCTCTTCCTCTTCCTCTTCCCCCTTTTCCCTTCATCATCATCCTTCTCATCCTCCTTGTCCTCATCCTCCTCCTTGTCCTCCTCCTCCTCCCTGTTTTCGAAGATGCTCCGTGTAGCAGCTGGAGTTCGGCGAGAGCTTCACCACGTCAGTTCCAATACCCCGTGTGGCGTTTGGCGTTCTGTGGGCCACGTCACGGCTTAGGAGCCGACTCGGGGGGGAGAAAATTGCCCGCGACTCTAGTTGGTTTATTATGTGTGCCCTAATCTGCGCGCGGCATTGATCGATCTGATCACGCGTTCGCCTCCAAGGTTGATTATCAGCCTCCCCAGGTCGGAGATCGATTCAACGAGCGATTGTCATATCGATCTGATTCATCTGCAGTTGGGGAGGTTCGGGTAAGCTCCCTTGTTCCTAAAAATGTTTGGGTTTCGCTTGCCACCATTGTATCCGTCGTTGGGCACTCTCGCATCCTTCTCGGCCCCGGGGCCCTCGTCCCCGTCTTCTGGGAGGTAGGGGCACGCGTCTGGCATCCTAACACGTGCCCTTCTTGCCGAACCCGATTGCATTGCAGTTCTTCCATAAATCCTGGTATACGGTGGGTGAGGCTGCTCATCCACTATCACCCTTGTCACAACGGCGAGTGCCGATTGGCCGCATCTTTGGCATACTCCGAATGAAAAGCAGGCACATGACTGTCTGGCCCATGTCTGGCCAGACGTGTTGGTCACACGTCGGCCACTGCCTCCTTTATTGTCACGCTCCTGCCTGTGAGAAGCCGCGGCCGACGGATTCTAATCGAGCGCGGAGGAGAAGGGGGGGTGATTGGGATTGAAGGTGTCCGGCACGGGGATGGCAGATCGGCTGGCGGCCCAGGGAAGCGCCGCTTGTGAATTCTATGTTGTGGGTGCTCTGTGCCACAGGCTTTTCGCGAAAAGCAGCGCACACAGGCGGCTGTCTTCAGATCCGTCGGGGTTGCATGACTGTTGTTGCACTGCCGCGCGGGAAAAGTGTCTGCGGGGGAGGAGCGCGTGCGTGGTTCCGATGGTGATTTTGGTTACGATGGTGATGACGATGATGATGATGATGATGAAATGAAATGATAATGATGACGGTCATGGTGATGAGTATTCTTATCATTATCACGCATAAGAATAGCATTACTAGTTTTATTAGTAGTATTACGGTTGCTCGTCTTATTGCTAGACTCAACCCTTTTGTGTTGGGTACTCGTTTTGAATAGAGCAGTGTAGTCGCCCCGTCCTTCCTCCTTCCGTCTCCTCCCCTCTCCTCCCCTCCTCCTTCTCTCCTGTTTCCTGTGTTCCCCTCTCCTCTTCTCTCGTGCCGTCTGCGATCTGCGCAGCAGATCGCAGACGGAGGTGGGCTCTCGTGCCGTCTCGGGCTCCTGGGAGGCCCAGCGGAGGTGGGTCCCACGCGGACCACCTCAGTATCTCGCCGCCCCCTGGGGGGCCTTGCGATCTGCGCAACTGTCGCCACTTTCGTGGGCTCCTGGGAGGCCCAGCGGAGGTGGGTCCCACGCGGACCACCTCGGTACCTCGCCGTCCCTTGGTGGGCTTGCGATCTGCGCAACTGTCGCCACTTTCGTGGGCTCCTGGGAGGCCCAGCGGAGGTGCGTTCCACGCGGACCAACTCGGTACCTCGCCGCCCCCTGGGGGGCTTACGATTTGCACAACTGTTGCCACGTTCGTGGGCCCATTGGGGGCCCAGCGGAGGTGGGTCCCACGCGGACCACCTCGGTACCTCGCCGCCTCCTGGGGGGCTTGCGATCTGCGCAATTGTTGCCACTTTCGTGGGCTCATGGAGGGCCCAGCGGAGGTGGGTCCCACGCGGACCACCTCGGTACCTCGCCGCCTCCTGGGGGGCTTGCGATCTTCGCAATTGTCGCCACTCTCGCGGGCGCATGGGAGGCCCAGCGGAGGTGGGTCCCACGCGGACCACCTCGGTTTTCAATGCACGTCGACATGCAAATCGAAAAGCACATCGAAATGCACATCGATATGCAAATCCAAATGCAAATCGAAAGGCACATCGTCATGCCGTTGCCGCTGTCGGACCGCAGCCAGTTGCCCACAGACATCGACAGAACAACAATCACCACGTTTCCACTTTTGCCCATTGCTGCCCCCACCAACCTTCTTTATCACCCGCAGGGTGGTCGTATAGGTTGTGTATATATAGATATACAGCGAGAGAGAGAGAGAGAGAGAGAAACCACCCAAATGATATATATATATATAGAGAGAGAGAGAGAGAGGTACAAGAGTGATATATATAGAGAGAGAGGGATACAAGCAAATACAAACCTAAAACAGACGCGACACAATGATAGAGAGAGAGAGAGAGAGAGAGAGAGAAAGAGAGACACAGAGAGAGAGAGAAAGCGCGCGAGAGAGGCACTCCTCTTCCTCTCCTCCCTCCGTTTCCTCCCTCTCTGCTCATAATTCCTCTTTTCCCCTCCTTCTCCATCCTTTTCGCCCTCCTGTTCCATCTCCACCCCCATCCTTTTCTCTCTCGCCCTGCTCCTTGTTCCCATCCCTCTCTCCTACCTCTTCCCCCCTTGCCTTCCCCGCCGCCGCCAACGACGACGACGACGACGGCGACGGCGACGGCGACGGCGACGACCACGACGGCGACGACCACGACGACCACGACGACCACGACGACCACGACGGCCACGACGGCCACGACCACGACGGCGGGAGCGGCCGCCTCGCGCCAGGCAAGTCCTGTGCGCACCGTGCGCCCCCGCCCGCGGCCGCCGCCCTCCCGCCCGCGCGCGTCCTGCGCGCGCCTGGCCTGCCCCAGGGGGGGCTGGCCCCCCCCCCCCCGCCGCCCCTCCACCGCCCTCCTTCGCCGTCCGCCCCCCACCAGTGTCCTCTCCAACTCCTCCGCCCCACCCCCCCCCTCCTCCTCCCCTCAACCCCGCCCTGCTGCCGCTGCCCTCCCGCCCGCGCGCCATGCGCGCGCCGGGCCTGCCCCCCCTCGGGGGGCCTGGGCCTTCACCAGCTCCCCCCAGCCTCACCCACACAATGCAGAAGATCTCGGCTTGTGGTTTTGCGGCTCCTGCGGATGCTTCGGTCAAGCCCAGCTCAGGGGTTTGGCGAGCCCGTGCCGCCCACACCTCATAACCAAGGCCAGGCGCGAGCACCTCGATCGTGTCTCTCGCGGCCTGTTTCCAAAGAGCTGAACTTGCATGCCTTTCACCACTACGTGATGGCTGAAATCCTGGAAATCCGCCCCCATTTTGCCCTCCGCATACTCCACAACTCCCCCGCCCCCCCTCCATCCTCCTCCACTCTACCCCCCTTCCCCGGCCCCCCCCCGCCCCGTTGGGTCGAGCCGTTGCTCAGTGTGGCACGCCAGCAGCGTTGCCAACGGGCCTTCCAGTCTGTGCGTGTGTCTGTTTTAGCCTGTCCCAGCGAGCAGCCGCTAACGACGGGCCGTGGCGTGTGTGTGTGTGTGTGGGTATGTGTGAATATGTTCATGTGTGTATGTGTGTGAGTGTGTAAGTGTATGTGTATGAGCGCGTGTGTGTAATTGTGTCAGTGTGTAAGTGTGCGGGTGTGTAAGTGTGGAAGCGTGTGTGTGTGTGTGTGTGTGAATGTGTGTGTGTGTGTGTGTGAATGTGTGTGAATGTGTGTGTGTGTGTGTGTAAGTCTGCGTGTGTGTGTAAGTGTAAGTGTAAGTGTTTGTGCGTGTATGTGTGTATGTGTGTGTGTCTGTCTGTGCCTGTGCCTGTGCCTGTGTCTGTGTCTGTGTCTGTGTCTGTGTCTGTGTCTGTGTCTGTGTCTGTGTCTGTGTGTGCGCGTGCGTGTGCGTTTGCGTTTTCGTGTGCGTGTGCGCGTGTGTGCGTGTATGCGTGTGTGTGTGTGTGTGTGTGTGGCCGTGGGTTTGTGTGTGGCCGTGTGTGTGTGTGTGTGTGCGTGCGTGCGGGCATATTCGTGTGTAAGTGTGCGTGTGTGTGGGATTACATGTTTTGGGGGCGTGCACACGGTTGAACCACTACTTCATTGTGTGGATACGAATGTGTGGGCAAATTACCATTTTGATTCTCTTTCTAAACCAGAATTAGACTCTACCCCCCCCCCGGCGTTATCGGTCCCCCTTTTCGGTATGTAGATCATATCCGTAAGGGCTTCGCCCCCTGCCGCCGGCCCCCTCTCTCGGAGAATGGGCCATGGAAGAGCTAAGTCATGAGGCCTTGGCGCTGTCGTGAAGCAGTATCGAAACTTCATGCGAAGCCGATTCGCAATCAGCAGAACCAACTGATCACAAGAGGGGTTACCACACCTGGCGATTGGTAAGACGTGTATGGTTTACGGGCTTGGTCACCACACCTTGCGATTAAAGGGCCGAGGGAGTTCTCGCAGTTTGGGTTACCACGCCTTGCGATGGATGTGCGTGAAGGGTGGCACCGAATTTCAGAAATGTGGCAAATCCCTTGTGTTTTTGGACCCTGACCCCGCGGATCTGCGTGAGGGGTGGCACCGAATTTCAGAAATGTTGCAAATCCCGTGTGTTTTTGACCCTGACCCCGCGGATCTGCGTGAGGGGTGGCACCGAATTTCAGAAATGTGGCAAATCCCCTGTGTTTTTGGACCCTGACCCCGCGGATCTGCGTGAGGGGTGGCACCGAATTTCAGAAATGTGGCCCCCTGTGTTTTTGGACCCTGACCCCGCGGATCTGCGTGAGGGGTGGCACCGAATTTCAGAAATGTGGCAAATCCCTGTGTTTTTGGACCCTGACCCCGCGGATCTGCGTGAGGGGTGGCACCGAATTTCAGAAATGTGGCAAATCCCCTGTGTTTTTGGACCCTGACCCCGCGGATCTGCGTAAGGGGTGTCGATTTCGAGCCCCCCCAGCAATTCAGACAACGCGCCCAGGAGACACTAAAAATCTGGTTTGGGCCTCCCCCCCCCTCGCGCGGTCAATCAACTAGTTACAGCAACCAGCAAGAAGCAGAACTGTAACACTGGAAACTACAAGCTACAACTGGTACAGGAAACTGCGAACCTCGCGCCTACAGCCTGGTGGCCCCACAAGGGGGCCGGCGGATATAATTCTGACCACATGTCGATCCTAAGTATGAATTTACACCATCCCCGGGGGGCCGGGATCGGTCCCCCTGAGGTTCCCTCGTAAAAAACAATGCGCGGGGACATGTTTGTTCTAACATAAGATCTAACATAAGACTTGTTCACGAATCCCTTGCAAAACATGGGACGAAGTGCAGACGCGCGCGTCGTCGCGCGCGCATGCCGAAATACTTCAAAAACCTTTGGTTTCGGAAGGATTTCAAAATCGTGTGTCCAAAAAACCAACAAAAACACCAGGTTTCGCAACACGGATTTTCAACAAAAGCGTGCGCGCGCGCTCTTGCATCGTCATCGTCGTCGTCGTCGTCGTCGCCGTCCTCCCTCCTCCCGCGTCGTCGTCGTCGTCGCCTACGTCGTCCTCTGTCTTTCCTCGTGTTCGTCGTCGTCGTCCTCTTTGGCGTCGTGGTCGTTTCCGTCGTCGTTGTCGCCGTGGTCGTCCTTCTTCCTCCTCCCTCGTCGTCGTCGTCGTCCGTCGTCGGAGTCTCGTCGTCGTCCCTCCTATTTCGTCGCCGTCGTCGTCGTCGTCGTCGTCGTTGTCGTCGTCGTCTTCCCTCCTCCCTCGTCGTTGTCGTCGTCGGCGTCGCCGTCCTTCCGCCTTCTTCGTCGTTCGCGTCGTCGCCGTCCTCCCTCCTCCCTCGTCGTTTTGTCGTTGTCGTCGTTGTCGCCGTCGTCGTCCTCCCTCCTCCTCGTCGTCGTCTTCGTTGGTGACGTCGTCGTCGTCTTCGTCGTCGTCGGCGTCGGCGTCGTCTTCGGCCTCGTCGTCGTCGAAGTCGGCGTCGTCGTCGTCGCCGCCGTCGTCGTCGTCGTCGTCGTCGTCGTCGTCGTCGGCGTTGACGTCGTCGTCGTCGGCATCGTCATCGTCGTCGTCGTCGTCGTCGGCATCGTCATCGTCGTTGTCATCGTCGTCGCCGGCGTCGTCGTTGTCGTTTACTATCGCAATCGCTTCCGCATGGGTTTTGCAAGCCAAGTTGCGGGTGGGTGGGTGGGATGATTGCGCGAGCAGTGGAGCTGACAATTTCAAGTTCGGCAAGTGAACTGCACTCATATTAGCTTGCACATGCGGACTCGCATATACAATTAGTTTCGCACATACTGTTACGCGTATGGAAGAGCGTGATGAGAATCGGCGAGGAGGCGGAACAGGAATAGTCCTCAAGATGTCGTGCTTCCGTATTTGTCTATAACTGCACGCGGAGTTGTAGATAGGTGCGTGTGCCCGTCCCAGCAGAACCAGCCACCGCCAAGACGCTGGAATAATGAGCATGTCGGGTCCAGAAGAGGCTCGGTGTTCGACAGGCTCCAACGCCCCTCGTGCACCTAGACGCTCTTGGGCTTGCAAAGGAGCTCAGCTCTTTGCCCGGAGTTCCGTATGATGGCACGATGACTGCATCGCACAGAAGGGCGAGCAACAATTCCTTGCCGGCACTCGCTCGGCGGCCTTCCTCGTGCTGCTGCATGCAACGGTCGGCTGGGCACATGGAACGTCGGGCGGGCGGGTGGGCCCGTGACCCCCCCGACTCGAGCGCCTTGGCCCGTCACGCCGCGGCCCAGTCCCCGCCGGCGGGGCTCCATGCTGGGACTCGCTGCACCCGGGGCGCTCCTGGCTTCCGTGGGCGTGTGCGGGCCAGCAGCGTGCGAAGCCTTCGAGAACTACGAGGAGGTTGAGGACCTGAGCCCGCCCCACCGCCGTGGTCCGTGGCGCCCCCCGAAGGCGGCGCCCGAGGAAGACTGCGGGGAGGAGTTCCTGCCCCTGCTGGGCGACGGTTGGGGCGAGGCGGTGGAGGTTGCCCTGGAGAGCATCTACGCCGACGCCGAGCGCGCCGCCCCGCCTGGCTGCAGCGGCGACCCAGCGGAGGGTGGTGCCCAGGAGCTGGAGGCTCCGCTGCGCGCAAGAGTGATCCTTCGACGGAGTGGCCTTTGGTGCGGGCCTGGTCCCCCCAGCGCTGGCGCGCGCGTCGATGTGCACCCCCCCCGACCTTCCAAGGCCACGCACCAAAGGTCACTCTTGCATGCGCAGGGTCACTCCTGCGTTTCGCCGAGAGGCGGACGCGTGCCCCCCGTTCGAGTTCGAGGCGCAGGTCCCGCAGGACTGGACCCCCGACCAGCCGGTACTCGGGCGCGGCCCCCACGGCAGCGTGCGCGTGAGGCCGCCGCAGGGCACGCAAGGCGGCGCCCTGCTCAGGTGCTGGGCGGGGCCACGCCCAGAGCTGCGGGTGCGGGTGCCCCCGGGCGGAACGCCTGGCGACGAGGTGATGATGCGGCGCGAAGACGGTATTCTAGGCCTCCCAGATGGGGTCCGAGGAGATGAGGTCGGAGGATCCCGCCGCATCGCCGATGCATCGACGATGCGGCTCGATGTGGAGCCCGAATTTCTCCACGCCGATGGCGCGGGTGCATCTCCGACGTCGCCGATTCATCAAATCTGTAGTTCCGATGCATCGTCGGTGCGGCGCGATCCTCCGACCCGGTCTACTGCCCCGACTCCATTCGGGAGGCCTCTATCAGGTGTGGCGATCGCGGTCACGGTGCCGAAAGGGCTGGCCCCCGGCGACACCTTCATCTAGGGGAACAAACAATTACAGGAACATAAGAACTCGGAGGTCCGCGCGGATTTCTCGGATCCGCGCTGGACCCCCTCCCTGGCGCGCGGAGCGCGCCAGGGGCGGCGCCGGAGGCGCCGCCAGGGGCATCCAGTGCGGATCCGAGAAATCCGCGCGGACGTCCGAGTTTTTATGTTTCTGCCATTCTTCGTTCCTCTCTCATCGTCGCCGCGCCAGTGCTCATGGTGCGCGTGCCCGAGGGCGCCCAGGCCGGGCAGCGCGTACTCTTCCGCTCCCTGGAGGGCGCCGGCGGCGAGCCGGCCTGGTGGCGCGCCCCCGTCCCTGCGGACGCGAGGCACTTCAGGAGCGAAAGGATCCACGCTGGATTTCGAGAGCATTGCCCGAATGTTCGTATCTCGCGGCCAGTCTCGCGGATCGAGGGGCCGTGTGCATGTCCATAGTTGGGCGTACGTCCTTTGTGGGCTCCCCAGGCACGGCGGCTACTTCTGCGCCCGCTTGCCGCCTCCAGGTCATGGGCCTGTTTTCCACCATCACCACCAGAAGTTAGAGGGGGGAAGGATGTGGAGGAGGAGGAGGAGGAGGAGGAGGAGGAGGAGGAAGAAGAGGGGGAGGAGGACCCCCTCCCCCTCCAACTTTTGGTGGTGGTGGTGGTGGGGAAACAGGCCCATCATCCAGGGCCTCCCCAGGGGGAGTGGCGGGACGGCCGCCTGCCGGGGACGCCGCCGACGAGGAGCTCGACAGGCCCTGGGACGCCGGCCAGCCCCGCCGACTCGCCCTTTCGGCCGCTGCTGGGGGACGACGACGAGCAGCTCGACGATGCGACGTCGGACATGTGATGCGTCGGCGGTTTTTCGAGACGTGCCTGTCGAAGAAAAAACACATAAACATGAACTTGTGGCGCTCCGCGCGGATTTCTTGGATCGACGTTGGGCCCCCCTGGCGGCGCCTCCGGCGCCGCCCCTGGCGCGCTCCGCGCGCCAGGGAGGGGGTCCAGCGCCGATCCAAGAAATCCGCGCGCAGCACCAAACGATTATGTTTATAGCGTTTTTGTTTGTCTTCTATCGGCAGTTTTTCGAGACGTGCCTGGCACAACCAGCGTTTAGATCCCATTTGGCAGCCCGAGCCTGGCCGGTGTCCAAAGAAGTCACTGGCCTGGTTGGCCTCTCGGGGAGGGTGTCAGAGGATAAGCTCAGGTTGCAGCTCCTGGGAAGTTGGTCTAAGCATCGGCACTGGTATGCCATTGGTTCCCATCCAGCTTACTCCGGCTCACTTCTTGACCTAATTCAGTTTTATTGTACGTGATTTTGTTTGATGTATCCAAGTTGTGACCATGAGGACCTCGCAGGAGCCGCCACCTAACGGAAGAGGATCGACATGTGTGGTAGTTCCTCGGCCTCAGCAGGCCCCCGGGGACCTCCGCAAATTGGCCCAGAGCAACAACCAATAGACCCTCCATCGAAGACGGAAAACTAGCATGAGAATCAACCGTCGAGTGTCCGCGCAGATTCCGTAGGTCTTCACTGGACCCCTCTGGCGGTACATTTGGCGCCGCCCCTGGCGCGCTCCGCGCGCCAGGGAGGGGGGTGTCCAGCACCGATCGAGGAAGTCCGCGCTGACCTCCGAAAGCTTGTGCGTTATGCAGGTTGTGAGTCTTACACTGTTCGAAGAAGAAAACGACATGAACATCAACTTTTGGCGCTCCGCGCGGATTTCTTGGATCCGCGCTGGGTTCCCCTGGTGGCGCCGCCCCTGGAGCGCTCCGCGCGCCAGGGAGGGGGGTCCAGCGCAGATCCGCGCGGAGCGCCAACAGTGTATGGTTATGGCGTTGTTGTTATTGTTACCTTTTCTGTACCTCTCGGAGCTTCTCGCCGCTGTGGCTGGATTCCCCTCGAAGCTCTGGCCGCAAGGAAGCCTAGGACAGGCCTGGAGCCCGGGATCACGACCTGCCGCGCTTCTTGTTTGAACGAAAACAATTTAGTGTTCCCCCGCAAATTCAGGACTCAGGACAATTAGAAAACCGCAGAGAAAGAAAAACAGCATGAAAGAGGGTGTCGAATTTGGTGGAAACTATCCGCTGTAGGTACGGGTGGAGCACCGAGGCCTTCGAGTTTTTCCTCCACGCGAGTGCAGTCTGCCGACCGGGCAGGTTTGGCTGTCAGTGGGCCAGGTCGCGCGTAGTAGTTATGGTAGTCAGGGCTGCACCGCCTTAATCGCGAGCGTTACGGTCGCCAAGTGTACCCGAAAACATTCATACTTGTGAGGTTGCGCTGCTCGAATGGACAGATCGCGCGTGCCTGTTCGTTACACAAGCGGCCGGATGGCAGGATTGGGCAGTCATGATGGGAATGCGGAGGAGGAAGGACGAGGAGGAGGGTGAGGAGCACTTGCTCAGAGGAGGCGGAGTGGCGACGGTCGGTGACTTCCCTGCGGGACGCGACCTGCGACCAGCGTGCTTCCGTTCTGGCTCGAAGCCCGCCGGCTCGAGCGCACCCGAGGCGGGCGCCAGCGCTGGCCCAATGCAGCGACCGCGGCGGTGACCCGCTCGCCAGGCGCGGAGGCCCCACCGACGGCCCGGCGGCCGCGCCGCAATGGCACGGCGGCGGCGGGGAGGGTTCTGCGCGCTCCTCCTCCTGGCCCGGGCCTCCTGCGCCGGGGCCTCCGCCCTCCTCGAGGAAGAAGCATCGGCCTCGGCACGCAGGGGGATCGAAGAAGAAGAAACGCCATAAACATGCACTGTTGGCGCTCTTTTCTTGGATCCGCGCTGGGTCCCGCGGCGGCGCCTCTGGCGCCGCCCCTGGGGGCTCCAGCGCAGATCCCAGAAGTCCGCGCAGAGTTCCAAGTTTATGTTCATGGCGTTGTTCTTATTATTGTTCTTCGTGCCCTTATTATCCTCCTTACTATTGTTATTTATCTGGCCATTTTTAGGATTACCATTATTATTATCACTATTGCTATTAGTCTTAGTTGTCTTATATTTGTTATTATTATCCGTCTTAGTATTATTATTATTCGTATTATTAGTTTTATTATCCTCCTCCTCCTTATTCTGCTTATTATTATCTTCTTATTATCCTTCTTATTTGTTTCTTCTATGGGAACTCATGCCGAAAAAGCACCCCGCGTGCCTCCAGGGTGCTCTTGGTTCCTTGCGCTGTGGTGGTTTTTAGACGGACAGCGTGACGCTCCCGTAGGAATTCGTCGGTGGACATCCTGGGGTCTCAGGGTTGGGTGTCTGGTAGAAGGTTTCCTGCGGTCGAGCTCCTAGTGCATACATTTTCGGAGGCTGGGCGCGGACCTCGTCGGCGCCCCCCCCGGCGCGCGACCCGCGAGCCGGGGAGCAGCAGCGTCCAGCGCCGAGCTCCAGGGGCTCCGCGCGCCCACCTCCGAGAGCCTGCGGCTGCGGCGGTGCCCTTCTTCCTCGGGCCCCTCCGTGCCCAGCTCCGGGCCTCCCCAAAGGGGGTCCGCGCAGGGCGCCTTGTTGTTCATTGCCTCGCCGATCTTGGCGGCGCGCAGAGGGGGGCAGGGGCAGGGGGGAGGGTGCATTAGAGGGAGGCTGTTTCTCATTAGGCGCCGGCCTCACATCTACAGACAAGGCCCGCGCCTTCTAAGAAGCAGGGGTGTTTCTAACAAGCCTTCCCCTGCCCCTACCCCCCTCTTCGCGCCGCCAACGATCGGCGCGGGCTCTTGCCCCCCTCCCCCCCCCTTAGACCAGATTCTGCTGCGTTTGGCGGCTGGTCGGGACCCCTGCCCCCCAATCTGCGGGCGCCACTGGCAAGAACAGAGATCGACGGAGCACCGGGCCAGACCCAGACCCCCCCCCCCCCTCCGGCCATTTGTCGAAAGCCAGCATAAGACAACGCTTACCAGGCGGTGTCAAAGATCGCAGGCGAATTGTCTCCCCCAGCCCCTGACTTTTTGACGAAAAGTGAAGCCGCTCAGGAAAGGAGGGGAACCCTTGAATGTATCCCAAGGTTGCTATTCCGACGCACCCTTGTAGAGGATGGACGCCCCCCCATCCTATGTCCCAGAGCTGGGCCCCAAATTTCTAGTCATTCGAAAACCCCACGAAGCCTGGGATAGGGGTCGACATACACCCCTGTTAGACGAGTCGCTCCGCATCGCCGATGCATCGGCGATGCGACTCGATGCGGAGCCCGCTTTTCCTCGCGCCGACGTCGCCGATGCATCGCCAAGGCGGCGCGGTCCTCCGACCACACCTGCTCGGACTCCACTGGGGAGGCCTCTACCAGCGCCAGGGCGGCACCGCTGGCGCCGCCGAGGGCCCCCAGGGCGGCACCGGCGAGAGCGGCCCGGCTCGCTCGGCGGATCCCTTCGCCGCATTCGCCGCCTTCCACGGCCGCCGCTACCCGCCCGGATCGGCGGAGTACCGGCGCCGGCAGGCGCTCTTCGAGAGGTGCTCGGGCCCACAGGCAAATGGGCCCTGAGGTGTTCGTCGCTGCTCCTCGGGGCCCCCACGGGCCCCAGGACCGCCCACAAGCGCCTCGGGATCAGAAGCTACAGTGGAGACCCATGCCAAGAAACACCCTGCTTGCTTCCAGGGTGCCCTGGGTTTCTGGGGTGCCGATGGTGTTGCGATGGAAAGCGGGACGTTCCCATACCAGAAAATAACAATGGACGTCTTGAGGTCTCAGGTTTGGATTTTTTGTGGAAGGTTTCTTGTGGTCGGGCCTCCACTGTAGTAGTCTTGAGGAACGCACCCCCAGATCAGGGACCCGCTTCTTTAGGCCTCGCGAATGGAGTCCGAGCAGGTGGGTTCGGAGGAGCGTGCCGCATCGCCGACGCCTCGGCGATGCGGCTCGATGTAGTTCCTGATTCTCTCCACGTCGACGGCGCTGGTGCATCGCCGACGTCGCCGATGCATCGCCGCTGCATCAGCGATGCATCGGCAATGCAGCGCGATCCTACGACCCCATCTTGTCGGAGCCCACTTGGGAAGCCTCCAGCTTCCCTCAGGACCCTCTTCCTACATGCCTCAGGAGGGGGAAAACACGCAGACACAAATAATCGTCGATTCCCCGGGCAATATAGGAAAATATTTCGAAGTGGGGGGGGAAGGCGAAAACATAGAGAAAACATATGGAAAAATCTGAGGAATCTTGGGATTTGTGCCTATGCATCTGTGTGTCCCTGGGCCCCTTCAATTTGGAAGGTTTCCAGTTTCCCTCCGTGGACTCCTTCCTTTCTTGCGAGAGGCGCGCGGGCGAGGCGGCGCGGCAGAATGCCCGGCGGGGCCGGATTTGGACCGCCAGCGTGAACTACCTGTCCGACTGGACAGATCGGAGGAGGGCCAGGCGAGACAAACGGCTGCCTTCGGGGCTGGGCCTAAACGGTGTTTTGGCGATTTCGTGGGTTTCGATTCCGTTTTGCGGTACAGGCGGATTGAAGACAAACGAGGGAAAACGGAAACAAAACGAAGACGACAAACACTGTTTAGGTTCAGCCCTGGCTGCCTTCCCTCCCTGAGATCCTGACGTCGAGATCTTTTCGAGCCGGGCGGTTTCGTCCCAGCCTCGGGCCCCGGGGCATTCACAGATCGGTCCGACTCGAAAGAGGGCGCAGATAAAGAAGGTTTAGGGCTCCCAGTCGTCGGATCTCAGAGGACGATTGCCTTCCTTGGTGTGTGTCTGGCGCTCTGGGGGCCTCCTGGAGAGGCTCCTCGTCGCCGCGGCTGGGATCCGCCTCCAGGAGCGGGCCGCGAGGGACGCCAGGAGAGATTCCGGAGGGGGCCTCCTCCTCCTCCTCCTCCTCCTCCTTCTTCTCCTCCTCCTCCTCCCTCTGCTCCTCCTCCTCCTCCTTTCGGCCACGCGAAGAGGGGGGGAGGGGGAGGCGGGAAGGCTTCCACCCCTGCTGCTTAGAAGGCGCTGGCCTTATCTATAGACGTAAGGCCGGGGCCGTCTTAAGAAGCAGGGTGCTTCGGAGAAGCCGTCCCCCCTGCCCCTGCCCCATTTTGCGCGCCGCCAATTGGTGCGCGGATCTGGGCAGGCGGTCAGAGCCGCCGTTGTCTCCGTTGGCCATCCCCCGGGCAGAGGAGGAGCTGCGGCAGTTGCGAGGCCACCGCCCTGGTGAACTCGCTGCCGCGGGCGGCAGCGCCGCAGGCGCGCGAATGAGCGCGCTGTCTCAGGGCCCTGGAGGCCGGGACACTGCACCCTGTGACGTTGCCAGAGCCTTCAGAGGGGGACCGACTGCAGGATTGACTTACCCATCGGTCGTTGAAAGTAGGTATTTCTGGAGTCCCAGATTCCAATCTACGTTAATCGGCTTCCTACTTCAATGATCGATTGGCTTCACATGTTCCGTCCTCTCTAGGGGGCGGGAGGACACCCAAACTATTTCCAACGCCTTCCTGCTTCATGTTTCTACTTTCTTCCGACCGATGGGTACCCCAAACATTGGTTTGTTTGTCGAATCTTCGAAAAATGCGTAGACTGTTCCTTAGATCTACAGAGTATTATAAGCACGTTCCGTAGATTCGACGACAAATCAATTTTGCGGTAGATCTATCTTGTGGTCGATCCCTTATTCGAACGTGAAAACCAGGAAGAACGGGGGGCGTTTCGATCCACAGCTGCAGTTTCCTTGGGTATACATTCTTGGATCGTTCATTGAGGGCTGAGCTTCCTCTCCACGGCTGCCAGGCAGGCATCCCCGCAGCAGCTTGCTTGAGTTTGCAGCTTGTCCCGCAAACGTTTCCCTGTTCGCTCCCAATGCGTTTGCCGCAAGCCTTTGCGCAGTTCCTTCGCAGCGCGCGCGTCCTGGGCTCGCGCGCAGCTCCCACTTCAGGCTTACAAATTTGCCGGGCATCTTTTCAGCTTTCTCTGCAAGCGCCTCCTCCAATCTGGCCAGGTGCTCAGATTGCTTCGGCGGGGCCCAGGACTGCTCTGCTGTCCAGGTTCTGGATTACACAAGTCCTGGTTTCGCAGCGTGTCCCCGTTCACGGGGCCCGGATCGTCTGCCGCTCAGCGGGGAGGCAGCGTGGGCCCCAGCCGAGATTGGCGCCACCTGCCCGTGCTGCAGCAACCCAAGAACCAGGGAGCCTGTGGCTCGTGCTGGGCCATCGCAGCGGCGACCATCGTGGAGGCTTATGCGCAGAAGGGCAACCTCGCCAACGCCGGCACACCCTCGGTCCAGCAGCTCGCGTCCTGCGTGCTCAATCCGGACAAGTGCGGCGGCGGCGGCGGCTGCAAGGGCGCGACGATGAACCTGGCTCTCGACTACGCTCTGTCGCACGAGATCTACTCGGAGGCCCAGTGGCCGTACGAGCCGAGCACGATCCCAGGCACCCAGGGCACAGCCGTGCGGTGTTCCGCGAGCGGCCCAGCCTTGCAAGTGCTCAATCTCACCGCCGCTGCAGGCAACGGGACGGTTGGCAGAGGCACGGTTGCAGCTCACGCGACAGGTCACGCGCTCAACGGCGTGGCGATACCGTTCAGCTCGTACAGGGTGCTGCCCCGCAACCAGTACGCTTTTTTGCTGGAGGCTCTCTACGAGACCGGCCCCGTCGGCGTCAGCGTTGCGGCTGGCCAGTGGTTCAACTACGGGAGCGGAATTTTCGATGATTGCACCGGGAGCGCAGGTGCGGTCGTGGACCACGCCGTGGTGGCCGTGGCGTTCGGCGAGCAGGCGGGCACGAAGTATTGGACTTTGATGAACTCGTGGGGCTACGACTGGGGCGAGAACGGCTACATCAGGCTGCTGCGTCGCGACAATGACAGCGCGATGTGCGCAGAGAACCACAAGCCGGGGAACAAATGATGGCATAAACATTCATTTTCGGAGGTATGCGCGGATTTCTCGAATAGGTTGTGGAGCACCCCGGCGGCGCCTCTGGCGCCAACCTGGGCTGCTCCGCGCGCCATGGAAGGGGGTCCAGCGCCGATCAAAGAAATACGCGCGGGCCTCCGAATTTGCATATTCCTGTCGGCGGCAAGCGAGGGGGGGAAATGAGCAGGAGACGAATTTCTGAGAAGGAGGCGGGACTTCTCAGAAGCCCTCGCGCCTTCTGAGAAGTTTTCTATAGCTTCGGGGAATGCTTCGAAAACTTCTCAGAAGGCCAGGGGGAACTTCGAGCCTTCTGAGAAGGCCACGCCCCTTCTTCCCCCCTGGGCTTGCCGCCGATCCTGACATGATTTGTGCCTCGACCCAGCCGGAGCTGGGCACCGCCTGCAAGCCGTACCCCGCGCAGGAGACCGTCTGCGGCATGTGCGGCGTCCTCTTCGAGAGCGTCGTGCCGTCGCTGTGAGCCTCGTCGGCCCGCCCCGCCCCCCCCCGTGGTGGTCGCCAGGCGAACGTGGCCGCCGCGAGAGCGCGCAGCCGTCGCGGAGGCTGGGCCGCATCCGCTGGAAAGGGGCGAGCTGCGGGCTTCACTTCGGCCCATCCCAGCGGCGCGCCAACGTGAGGGGTTGTCGAGTCTAGCCCTCCCATATGGGGTCCGAGTACATGGGGTCGGAGGAGCGCGCCGCATCGCCGATGCATTGGCGATGCGGCTTGATGTGGAGCCCGACCTTCTCCACGCCGACGGCGCCGATGCATCGCATCGCCGTTGCGGTTCGATCCTCCGACCCCATCTGCTCCGACCTGGTCTGCGAACCTGTCGTCCACGACAGGGCCGGAGTGGCCAGGATCCTGGTAGTAAAAAGTGTCCAGGTCGCTTTCCCCCTCTCCTCCGCGGCCAGAACCTAATTATTTGTGGGACCCGGAAATGTGCCAGGGGGTTCAGAGGAAACCGCACGGGCCAAGAGCAAGATGACCTGACAGCCTCTGAGGGGTTACGGTTAAGTCGGGCATGTCTTTCTACAGGAGGAATATTCAGACATAGTCAAACATAGTATGGGGACATGTTCTAAAACTATGTTCGAGCATTTCTGTAATATTGTCTGACTAGTTTTATTTGTCGTGCAAAATCCCCCTGTAGGTGGACAGGCCCGATCCAAGGCTACGGCCCCGCCGCCGTCCTCTTTAGGAGGCGCTCCCCGCGCATGCGTGGAGCGAAGTCGGCGCTCGCCTCTCGGACCGAACGAAGGGGGGGGGGGATAGGGAAAGGGGGGGTTACGAAATCTGCTGCATGCATCTGGTTTCGGCCCCGCCGCTGGGTCCATTCCTAGATACATGGGCGCCGGCAGGCGCTGGGAAAATCAGCGACGTGATTCTCTACCCTACCCGAGCCTCGCCTCGCCTCTCCCCCGCGGCGGCGGCGGCCAGGTACGGCCGGGAGTTGTCCGCGAGCCCGCCCGCGGGCGCGCCGGCGCAGCCAGTGGAGGCGTGCCCGCGGCGCGGCGTGCGAGCTGCGCGCGGAGGGGGTGTGAGGGGCAGGGGGGAGGAGAGGGAGGAGAGGGCTCCTCCTCCTGCTGCTGCTCCTCCTGCTGCTGCTCCTCCTCCCCCTCTTCCTCCTCCTCCTCCTCCTCCTCCTCCTCCTCCTCCTCCTCCTCCTCCTCCTCCTCCTCCTCCTCCTCATCTTCAAGAGAGGAGAGGGAGAAGAGGGTGAGGAAAGTCGGGAGGGACGGGGAGGGAGGGAGGGAGGAGGAGAGGCCTGAGCGTCCACCACGTGATCAAGAGTTTCGACGTCGAAGGCCGGGGTCCCGCAGGATCTGCGCACTGCCTCGCATTTCGAACTCCAAGGGACTGATTGTCAGGGCCCCCTCTGCACTGGGAAGACGCCTAAGCTCGCCGCCCGGAAAGAGGTGAACCAGAGCGTCGAGGAGGAGAAGTGGGAGGAAAAGTGGGAGGAGGATGAGGAGAAGGAGGAGGAGGAGGAAAAGGAGGGGGAGGAGCGGAGACAGGAGGGGAGGGGAGGGAAACGGGGTGATCAGGATGTGGAGGGGAGAGGGAGGGGGAAGGAGAAGAGGGAGAGGTGTACAAGAATGGACGGTTCAGCAGAAATCTTTGCTGCCGAGGGTGAGAAGGTGATAGCGGCGATGGCTTGCGACCGCAATCACGTGGGGGGGCCATCTAGGAGTGAGCAGAACGAGTGGCAATCACATGTGTCTATCTCCCGACGGGGAAGACGGACCAGTAGTCTCGACTACAAGTTAGGCGCCAGTGGTTTTGAGAGCCTGCGGGATCTCTCCGCCATGGGTCTGTCCTGGGGGATACCGCAGCGTGAAAGATCAAGGATAAGGACTTGCACAGGGAAGTAGCACAAGTGTTTGACATGTCTTGTTTTGTTTTCTGGTGGGACACAGGGCGGTGGAGGAAGGGCGAGTGGTAGGGTCTTGGTAGAAACCATGGAGGCAGTGCGACCTGCGATTGGAGTCTTGACAGTCTTGGATTTCATTTCACCTTGGGCGCCCGACGAAATTCCGACCGATGTGTGAAAGCACCGCGCTTTGACCGCAGGGTGCGCGAGAGGGCACGAGCGTGGTGCGCGGCACGTGCCGTTCGTCGGGGGGGGGGGGGGGCGCCGCCGCCTGGCCACCCGCCGAAGGGGGGTGTGCCTTGTGTAGTCTGGGGCTCGAGTGGGCCCCGCTCCGAGGAGGGAGGAGGAGGAGGAGGAGGAGGAGGAGGAGGAGGAGGAGGAGGAGGAGGAGGAGGATTGAGTCGTCAGGATCTCAGGGCTTCTCCTCCTGCCCTCGTCCTCCTGGGTGCCTCCTGGGGCCGTGCTCGCCGCCACGGGTCCGCTTCCGCCGCTCGGGCCCGCTCCGAGAAGCGACGAGGGGAGGGAGTGAGGCGATCGCAAACATGGATCAAGGAGGCGTGGATTAGTGACGGGGCCCGTATCCATGGGAAACCGCGGACTTCCGCCGCCGAGCGAGGCGGCACCGGCCGCCTTTTGGGGAGGGCAGCTCCCCCGAGCCATGGATTTGGCGACCGCGCGCCAAGTCCATGGATCGCTAATCCATGCGTGCGCGCCCCCCAGAGGAGCGACGAGGGGAGGGAGGAGGGCAGCCTTGCAGGCCGCCTGTTGGAATCGCGTTACGCTGGGCTCCCATGCTGCAGATGGGTTGGGAGCGTCGTGAGGGTAATTCCACAACGTGGGCCCTCAGAGCCCCAGGCCTTTCCCACGGGACCAGCGTTTCATCCCGAGTCGTCGTGCGGACGGTCAACGGCAGAACGGCCGTCTTCGAATTTCTTCGCACGGCGCGAGGAGGTGTGGAGGGGGGGGTCGGTAGCAAATCATGGGAGCCGTGTGTACCCTCGGAATTATGTTCTTAGCGTCGACTAGCGTCGATTAGCGTCTGGGAGTCGATGAGATAGCGCAGATTTAGCGTCGATGAACCTCGACTAGCGTCGATTTGGCGTTGATGAGCGTCGATTTAGCGTCGACTAGCGTCGATCCGCAAGAGCCGACAAGATGGTACGGGAGACCGCCATGAGTTGCCACCGAAGGGGGGGGGGGGCAGAGGCAGATGGGGGGCGAGAGCTCCGCGGGCCCACGCCAGGGAACGATTGCAACGTCGGAGCGGGGGCGGGGGGATCGTTGAGAGGGGCATCGTCGTTGCATGGGGGGGGGGCGGGGAGCGATTTGTTGAGGGGAAGTCGGGAGCCCTGAGACGGGGGTCAATGCAAGCGGAGGTCAGCCAGAGCGCCCGATCTTGCCGGATCCTGGAGGGCCAGGGTCGCATTGACCAGGGTTGGGGCGCAGGATTTTGCAGGATCTTGCAGGATCCTTCGCAATGACCCGGGCTTGGATGCAGGATCTTGCAGGATTTTGCAAGGGTTGACTGACCCGGGTTTGGATTGACCATGGTCAGAAGATCCCCAAGGAAGAAACGTCGGAGGGGGGGCGATCGTCGGAGGGGAGAGGTGGGAATCGTCGAGGGGGGGGGGCGTCAAGGGGGGGAGGGAACGTCGGAGGGAAGGGGGGGCCGCTCGAGGCTCGAGTCTGCTGCGAGGCTCCGCCCGGAATCACAGGAAGGGCGCTCTGGCCTTGGCATCGCTCTCGGGCGTGTGCACCTGTCTGTCTCGGCGGGGACCATCGAGGAGCATCCTGGATCATCGAGTAACAGAAAAACAGGAACGAAAGAAGGACGTGCACGTACATGAATCCGCGCTGGTCTCGAGAGTACGCATCTCGCGAGCGTTCGTATGACGCGGCTGGTCTCTCAGATCGGGGTGCCGTGTTCATGTACATTGTTGGGCGCGTACGTCTTTTGCGGGCTCCCCCAACAAGTTTTTGCGTCGGCGGCGAGGCAGGGGATGTCTGCGCTAGCGGAAAAGGCCTAAACGGTGGTGCCGTTAGGGCAAGTTGTGCCACCATCCAAGAGGAGGAGGAGGAGGAGGAGGAGGAGGAGGAGGAGGAGGAGGAGGAGGAGGAGGAGGAGCGGAGGCGGAAGAAGGCAGAGGAGGCTGAGCGGCGCGGGGCGCGCGCGGCCGCGCGCGGCCGCGCGCGGTCCGCTCGCTTCAGGACCCTCCTCGGACCCGAGAGCCCCGGGGCACGCGCAAGGGGGGGGGGCGGGAGGGCGGAGGGGGGGCAGGGCAGGAGAGAGCGCTTGGCATCGTTCGGACGTGCGTGTGCTTTCTTCCTCGGCGGGGATACATTTAGGAGCATCCTGGAGCATCCTGCGAACAAAAAACACGCACGAAACCGAAACATGCACGGGGAATGGACGTCCGAGCGATGGCAAGGGGCAGCGGCTGGGCGCAGGACGGCTTCTGGGGAGCCCTGATCTCCTCGCGTCGCGGAACGAAAAAACGCGACAGCAGGTGCTTGGGGGCCAGTGTCGGCCTCCCGGGCCCTACCCTGCTGGGCCCCGGGGCCGTCAAGAGATGATTCGGGGTGAAGAGCTGGT